CAATCAATGCCTATAAAGAAAACATTGATTTCCACGTTGGATTTTAAGTGGACTGCAAAAAATGCCAAAATACAGGCAATGCAGATATGGAAAATGGAAAATTATAATAATAATAAAGTATTGAATACAAACAATTGCACTCATTGTAAAGTTGTATTTTTGGTAGTTGAGAACATTAATTATAAAGCAGAAACAATTTTTCTTAGTCCTCCTTTACATCCAGGCAGTTGCTAAAGCAGTCCAGTCTGTTGACATTATTGAGGGACAATATGGATCTTTTCTTTTGAATGATGTGAGCTGAGATCAGGGGCACTTAATAAAACATTGGAGTTCTCATGCTGAAAGGCAGAGGAATGTGCTGTCTTTGACGGCTCGCGACTTCATCTGGCACTTCATCTACATGGACACTAATACTCTGATTTTAATATGATTAAGATAATACTCTGATTAAGAGTCGACCATGTAAGCAGCGATTTTTGATTACCTTAAAGGACCACCGAGTCATGAAATGAGGAGGTTTTTCTTTCCGTTCGCCATGCGGCATCAAATTCCATTAAAACAAAAGTCGAAAGCTAAAAATGAAACACCCGAAATTGTATGAAACTCTGGAGGAAACGCTGGAGAGCCTGGTAATGCCACATTAATTGTTTTATACTGAAACTCGCCTTCAAAAAGTGCTTTCTAGGTCTTATCCATATTTCTTTGCATGTTTAACACACGTCGGCCACAACAGGGGAAAAAAAATAATGTAAATACGCGAATTGCGTTAATTTTTTTACGTGTTAAATATTTCAAATTAATCGCATGCGTTAACGCACTAATTTTGACAGCACTAGTTATTATTATTAGCAGTATTATTTATTAAGTGCATATTTAATTTGTTTTATCAAAAAGAAGCTGGCGACACGGTGGCACAATAGGTAGTGCTGGTGCCTCACAGCAAGAAGGTCGCTGGTTCGAGCCATGGCTGGGTCAGTTGGCGTTTCTGTGTGGAGTTTGCATGTTCTCCCTGCGTTCGCGTGGGTTTCCCCCGAGTGCTCCGGTTTCCCCACAGTACAAATACATACATGCGGTACAGATGAACTGGGTAGGGTAAAGTGTCCGTAGTGTATGAGTGTGAATGAGTGTGTGTGAATCTTTCTCGGAGATGGGTGGCGGCTGGAAGGGCATCCGCTGCGTAAAACATTTGCTAGATAAGTTGGCGGTTCATTCCACTGTGGCGACCCCGGAATAATAAAGGGACTACGCTGAAAAGAAAATAAATGAATGAATAAAATGTCACTATAAGTCACTTTGTTAAAGTGTAGAGTTGAATTCTCACAATCAGAATTCAACAGAGCAGAGATCAACATCCCATAATGCAACTCACAACCGTAAATAAACCCAAAACACAGTTAATTAACAGACCATTTTTACAGTGTGGATTACAGCAACCCAGCATCATTTATGCGCGCGTCTGTTTTGTTGTATTTACCCCAGCATGTGAGCGCACTTCTCAAATGGATAAAGCCCATGCATTATAATCCCCCATCAACACAAGTTGCATAATTCCTTCTCTGATGCGCACGCCAATGCATTGTGTGCAGTAAATGATGCACTCCGCCTGACTGAACGCCTCTCCCATGGGTGCTCACGCTTGGGTGGCGGTAGAAAGTCCACTTATTTAATATTCCTTTCAGACTCAGATTGCATTTCCTGCACGCTCTTTATTTGTTCCAGTGCAAATCTTGACATTTCAATAGCCCGACTCATCTGAATATCCCGCAGTTTAGACTATTGTTAACTGCTTTCAAACTTGGCTAATTAGAATAAAAAGTGTGTGAGAGAAAAGAAAACTTTGGCTAAATCAATACATCAGGTATGAGAGCATTGTTGGCTGCCATTTAAAGATGATGTGCTATAAATATGTAATAAGCACTTCTCACAAAGATGATTTGATTCTAATTCACAAACTTTGATTATAATTCAGTGAGCCTGTGCATTAAGCATTGTTCGGTGGCGTTTTATTCTGTGTAGGGCACTTATTGAGATACTTTTACTGTAGGAAAACCCCCTGGAGTGTTTTTGAAGGTTATTTAAAAGACTTTTTATGAACTTATCTAGTGGGTAACTGTCATGGTCCTGACCTGACAGTCTTGTCTGTCCTGTCAGTGTTTAATGTTTGCCTGTTTGTCCTGTGCTTATTTACATTGCTGTGTCCATGGCCCCGTTTACACTAGTGCGTTTTAGTTTTAAAACGGCGTTTTAGATCAAAAACGATCCGCGTCCACACTAGCGTTTCTGAACATATCTCCGTCCACACTACGCCACCAAAAACATATATCATGTGACCATTCGCGCACTCTGGGCATGCACGTTCTAGTATAAACTGAAAGCATGCGTCTCGCTCGGCATTTGGTTATTGTTAGTCAACAAACGCCGGTTGAACAATGAACACTGCAATAAACAGTACTGCAAAAAGATGATTTGTTTGATACAACAAGAAAACTTTACATTTTTGACTATAAACAATTGTAATCAATATCAGTGAAGTTCCTATATATGGTTCACCTGATCAAGCGTTAATGACATCTTATAAACACTACTCCAATTTGTTCAACAAATTACAAAAAAAATGTAAATAATAACTTATTAAAGTTTTAACTTTTATATTAACAAAATTTTTAACTAAAATTATTGTAATCAGGGGCGAGGCAGTGCCACAGTAGGTAGTGCTGTCATCTCACAGCAAGAAGGTCGCTGGGTTGCTGGTTCGAGCCTCGGCTTAGTTGCCGTTTCTGTGTGGAGTTAGCATGTTCTCCCTGCGTTCGTGTGGGTTTCCTCCGAGTTCTCCGGTTTCCCCCACAGTCCAAAGACATGCGGTACAGGTGAATTGGGTAGGCTAAATTGTGCATAGTGTATGAGTGAATGTGTGTGTGGATGTTTCCCAGAGATGGGTTGCGGCTGGAAGGGCATCCGCTGCGTAAAAACTTGCTGGATAAGTTGGCGGTTCATTCCGCGGTTGCGACCCCGAATTATTATAGGGAATAAGCCGACAAGAAAATGAAATTAAATTATTGTAATCCGTATGAGTGAAGTTACTATGTATGGTTCACCTAATAAAGGGTTAATGATATGTAATAAACACTACTGTGAAAGATGATTAGTTCGATGCAAAAAGAAAAGCTTAAATGATAACTATTTAACTTTTTTGACTTAAAAAACAACTGTAATCAATATCAGTGAAGTTACCTTATGGTTCACCTGATAAAGGGTTAAAGATGTAAGATAGTAAACATTTAATAATTACTACTCCAAGATATTATTTGTTCAATAAACAAGAAAAGCATATGACTAAGGAGGAATTCAGTGACCATATGCATTGAACGCTGTTCGGTGCTGTTTTACCCTTTATAGGACACACGTTGAAAGGTTCGTTGGAAAACCCTGGAGTAATGAGGGTTATTACACGACTTCTGAACTTTTATACTGCAAAAAATATAAAAATAAGAAAATTACACTGTAATCAACATCAGTGCAGTTACTATAAGCGGTTCTTCATCTGATAAAGAGTTACAAATGTGTCATAAATATGTAATAAACACTACTGTGATTTGTTCGATGTAACAAGAAAAACTTCTAAACATTCTTGACTTTGAAAAAATGTAATTAATATCATTGAAATGACTATATAAGGTTAATTTGATAAAAGGTTAAAGATGTAATAAATGTGTAATAAACACTACTCTGAAGAATTATTTGTTCGATGCAACAAAAATTTAACAATGACTTTTTTTTTACTTTTTTGTCTTCAAAATCAGTGAAGTTCCTATATATGTGTCACCTGATCAAGCATTAATGATGATATGTTAGAAATATGTTAGAAACACTACTCCAATTTGTTCAGCATAAAACAAGAAAAAACGTAAATAATGACTATTTAATGTTTTGGACTTAAATATTAATTTAAAAAATTCACTTTTTTGTAATCAGTTCAGCAAAGTTACTATATATAGTTCACCTGATCAATCGTGAATCACCATATGCATTGAACGTTGTTTGGTGCTGTTTTACCCTTTATAGAGCACACGTTGAAATGCTCGTTGGAAAGCCCTAGAGTATAACAAGGGTTATTACACGTCATCTGAACTTTTATACTGCAAAAAATATAAAAATTGCAGAACTACATTGCAATCAATATCAGTGAAGTTACTATAAGCGGTTCTTCATCTGATAAAGGGTTACAAATGTGTCATAAATATGTAATAAACACTACTAGCAAAGATTACATCTTCAATGCAACAAGAAAGACTGACAGTACAGATTTAGTGACCATATGCATTAGGCACAGTTCAGTGCCCTCTGAAAAAGGTTATGTAATCAAAATGCAATACACTACAATTAGAGATCATTTATTCTAGAACAACGTTAATTACAGTTTAGAAATTGACTGATCTTATGCATTAAAGTACTGAAATCTCATCAAAACTCTACTCCCAATTCCAAATAATTCAATGCAACAAGAAAAGCTCATTAAAAATCCATTGTCAATATGCAATAAGCATTGATCAGTGCCTGTTAAAGAAGGCACATACATAATAAATATATAATAACCTCTACTATAAGAGATGATTTGTTTAATGCAACAAGAAAAACTTGAGCAGGAAATTATGTCGAAAGCAAAACCACCAATACAAGCGCACAATTCACCAAACTAACTGTGATTTCAACCAACTTTCTAACACTGTCTCGTTCGTGACCGATCTCCCCAAAGAAGACATCTATCCTAATTAGCACCACTGCGATCCCGTAATTATGCTAATTTGGGTCAAATGATCAACATATTGAGCAGACTGTGGTAAAAGCCCTTGAAGTAAGAGGTTACCCGCTCTGCCCTCTACAGCCAAGTGAGCGCACGCCAATCCAGCATGCACACAACAACACAACAACAACAAACAAACTCATTTACATTTTGCCGCAGACGAGTCAAGACAGGAGTCAAGCAATCCCAAGAGACTCACCTTCTGGCTGCCTGTGCATGAAGAAATGAACCATCGGCAGCTCCTCCGTAAGGGAAGTATGGTCCCTTCTTAGATTCCCGACAAGAGCAGAAAGCGGACGTCCTCCTTCCTCGGCGGTACTGCGATGAAGACTGGATCTGCTCTCCCCACAAAACAAACACACGCAGGTTTTTTAGCAGCGTAACCCTGAGTCAGGCCTGCCTTTGAAATGCTCTGTAGCCCACAACACAAGACGGCTTTCATTATCTGCGGAGTCGCAGCGAGGCCTAGCTTTAAAAGCTACTGATTTCTTTTTTCCTTTAGCCTCCCACACAAAGGAAGGGCAGTTTGTAAATTACTTGCTCGTTTCAGCCCGACAAAAGGTACTTTCATTGAAACCCCCCCCTCCACACACACACACACACACACCCTCCGTTTGATTTTGCTCAAATTTGATTACAAGGATTGAAAAAGGAGGAAATAGAAGAGAGAGAAAAGCAGATGGCGTCTGCATTCAGCGCACTGAATGGCTTTATCTGGCTGCCTTTTTAAACTGTGGCAATCCACAAGCATTTCGCCCGGCGTCAAAAGAAAAAACTTGACAAAAATGATCGCTCTGCCATTTCTCCTGTACGGAAAAAGGCGCCGGAGAAAAGGCTTTTCTCTCTCCTTTCTTCTGCGCTATCGCCCGCCTGGATCAAAATAATGGAGATTAGCTATTTCATTAGAAATTATAGCTGGATATGGAGTAGGCTGTCATATTAATAGCAACCTGCCTGTGGCCCTTCACCGTGTGCAATTCGCCTAGACAATAGGCTGAGGGAGACCATATATTGAACCTCTGATCAATTTTCCATCATCAAGACGTTTAACAAAGACGTGCGCCTGGCCTGCCGAGAGCCCCCTCCTCGCCAAAACAGTTCAAACTCAACTAAACACACATTCTGCGCCACAAAAAGAGGCATTCTCTGCGCGGAGAAAGGAAAGCGACGCGGGCTATAATTCCGTTTCTATGGCCCGATGGGCATTTCAGCACGCACTTGTTTTCAGCTGTAGATAATTACAGGCTGTGGCAGACGGGAGAAGAAGCGGGAACAAACAGAGCGCCGGGCTGCTTTATTCTGCACTTGTGTCGAAACGCTTCGGGATAGAGCGCGTGTGCGAAAGACTTGAAGGATGTGAGAACACAGCTATGTTTACATCCACCTAGTTTTTAGATTATTCGTTCATTTTTCTTCAGCTTAGTTCGTTAGTTATCAGGGGACACAGCGGAATGAACCGCCAACTATTTCAGCATGTTTTATGCAATGGGATGCACTTTCAGCTGCAACCCAGTACTGGGAAACACCCATACACACTCATTCACACACACACACATACTACGGACAATTTTGTTTATGGAATTCCAGCCTGATCCCGGGAGGTACGTATGGCTGCATTTTATTTTTTTTAAGCGAACGCTACGGGGCGGTGTGACGCTGTTCCCTTTTGCGCTTGCCGGCTGACCGATTACCTCCGTGTGGAGGGCTTTCCCGCCGCAATCAGTTTGTTCGGTCAGTTCATCGTGTGCGTCGGCGGACTTCAGATGCAGAGAGGAGGAGTTGACAAAGGCGTCCGGGTTCGAGTCCGGGGAAGAGCGGTTCCAGAAATCAGGTAAGACAAAAACAGCAAAAACAGAATCCAAAAAATAAAGAGAACGAGTTCATAACAGGGTGAGAACGTGGTAAAATCAGAAAAAGTGGAAAAAAAAAAAAACAGACGAGGGCTTTTCTTTTTCTAGACGGCTTTTCTAAATTGTTGCTCGGGTTCAGGGAAGTGAGCGGGCGGGCGGGTCAATCGGTAAAACTGGTTGGGTTCAGGGAAGGAGGAGGGTGGGTCAGCCGATTGGCCGGTTGCGCAGTCAATCATTCGGTCAGTCAGACAGAGGCCTCTAGTAGGTTGACGCGAGAACAGCGCAGGCGTGAACGGCACTAGCGAGAGACGTTCGATATATGAAAAAGCGCACACATCAGCCTCTCGCGGATTCGCGAAAACAAAAACTGCACAAATACGTACCTCCCAGGACGTATTTCGCGGTCCCCAGTAACGTCCGCTGGACTACGTTTTCAGAAAGAGCCTGGGTTGCAAGAAAGTCACGACTGGCCAATCAGAATCAAGTACTCCAGACAGCCATGTGAGAAACTTACTTGTTGACCTCACACTCATTCACAGACACACTCATACACTAAAGCCAATTTAGGGCATCCAATTCACCTGCACCACATGTCTCTGGACTGTGGGGGAAAACAGAGTTATGCTAGATAACTACTTTTCTGCTAAAACCACATTCTGTACACATTACATAGTCCTGGCTGTGGAGGAAGGTACTTAAATGGCCTGCCTACAGTCCTAACCTGTCTCCGATAGAGAATATGTGACGACCCCGTACAGTTGCCCACCTTAAGACTCGTTTGCAGGAAGAATGGGACAAAATTACACCTGAAACACTTCATCACTTGCTGTCTTCAGTCTCTAAACGTCTTTTAAGTGTTGTGAAAAGGAATGAGAACATTCCTATTTAAAACAATATTAAATAAAAACCATGAATGACGCATTAAACAATCCTTGTTGTGTTGTCCGCAATGAAATACAAGTCAAAGTACATTCAGAAATCACTACTTTCTTTTTTTATTTGCGTTTTCCATACTGTCACAACTTTTTCTGATTTGGGGTTGTAGAAAATGCTTCATGATTAAAGCATATTTAGCTATTTGGACTAGAAACAAGACAAAAAACTCATCATATATGGCAATAAAACAAAAGCAGATTCCTCAGCACTAATAATTTGATGATTTTTGTGCTTATAATAATCAGTGTAGAGCAAAACAGGAGATTCTGATCGCCCAGTGAGCGAAAAATCCCCCTCAACACTTTCAGTCTGAATGAAGGACTGATTCAAAAGGCCACCTGATAGACGTTCCCTTGCAGACGGACGCAGATGCGGCACATTTGATTCCTGTAATTACAGACTTTTGCCTTTGTCCCCCATTTGCATGAGCTTTTGATAAGCTGAATGGAAAAAGGTCAAACGCTGTTGGCAGGAATTATGATTTGGATTCGTTTCAGATCACACGAGGCAGAAACGTGTCGTTTTGTGAAAGACAGCTGGTCTGGTGTCATCTGAACATGTTTTAGCATGAGCGGAGGATGGCTAGCTTTGATAAAGTGTGTGGGAGATGCTGAGAAAACAGCTGGTCACTATGAAAACTATCAGAATCGGGGGCAGTTCACACGACAACACTTTCAGACAAAATAAAAACACAGGAAAATTTGGTGACACTTTACTTGAAGGAAATGTTCATAAGGCATGAAACCTTTATAATCATGATCAAAACAAGTCATGAATGTGAATCAGATTTCATGCATGGCCATAGAAACTGTCATTAGGTGTAATTCGCTCAGTTTAAATGCAAAGTCGACATAGTTTGTCATGACAACTTGACATAAACAAATGCAAACAAATCCAACATAGACTCATTCTGAAAACATTGCCCTGTATACATTTCTGGAAATTGCTAATTATATAGCTAAAGGCTGCATTTAGTCTTTAAAATGAATGCTTTTCGCGCCTACAAGCTGACTGCATGCCTCCATAGGAGCGGCTTTCCCGCTGTTACAAGTTTGTCCAATGGCTCGCCGTGTACGTCGGCAGACTTGTGACGTAGAGTGGAGTTGACCGTGACAATGAGGTTCAAGTCTGGCGAAGAATGATTCCAGAAAGCAGGAGAAAACCAAAACAAAAGCCAAAAAATAAAACAAACAAGTAAATCAGGGGCTCTCAAGCTTTTTCACTTCAGAGCCCACTTCTTTCTTCGATCAATTTTTGGAGGCCCATCTGCCCAACATTTTCTCTAAAAGGTTTGTATGAAATGCTTGTGTAAACCTTTATTTATTAATCATAAATTATATATATATATATATATTTTTTTTTTTTGTGCCTTCTATTATTTTCTATTATCAGCATTTTTATTCATTCATTCATTTTCTTGTCGGCTTAAGGCTGATTTATACTTCTGTGTCAAACGGCGGCGTATGCTACGGCGCTGAGGCATAGCCCTTCGTCGTGGCAGTCGGCGCCGCTGACGTGCACCTCTCAAAAATTGTAACTACACGTTGTAACGACGCGTGGCACAAGCTCTGTGATTGGTCGGCTTGGTAGCGCTGACGAGTCTGGGCGGGACCGAGAGCCGCGTAAATGGCGCGAGCTGGACGCGAGCCCAATGGAGCGATTGTTTACAAGTGTGGAGTCCCGTGAAGGAGCTCCTGATGAAAAGTTTTGTTTTGTGTTTACCTCATAGTTAAAGTTGTTGCACGTCCGCCGGTTCCTGCCTCAAAATGAGCGAGTTTAAGTCACTTGTACATCCAGGAAGTGTTCAGGAAAAGCAAAACAGCAGAGAAAAAACTTGACACAGATGAACATTTACACCTCACTGCCAACTAGCGTTTCGGAAGTGTTAATGCAGACCAACAGAGACAGCGCGCGGAAGTATAAACGCACAGCTACGCGCGTTGCATGCGCCGTGGGTCACGCCGGTCACTTGACGCAGAAGTTTAAACCAGGCTTTAGTCCCTTTATTTATCCAGGGTCGCCACAGCGGAATGAACCGCCAACTTATCTAGCAAGTTTTTACGCAGCGGATGCTCTTCCAGCCGCAACCCATCACTGGGAAACATCCACACACACATTCACACACACACTCACACACTACGGACAATTTAGCCTACCCAATTCACCTGTACCACATGTCTTTGAACTGTAGGGGAAACCGGAGCAAAACCCACGCGAAGGTAGGGAGAACATGCAAACTCCACACAGAAACGCCAACTGAGCCGAGGTTCGAACCAGCGACCTTCTTGCTGTGAGGCGACAGCACTACCTACTGCGCCACTGCCTCGCCATCTTGAAAAATATTCAGTCAAACATTATTTACTCTCATCATGGCAAAGATAAAAATAAATCAGTTAGAGATGAGTTATTAACACTATTACGTTTAGAAATGTGTTGAAAATAGCTGCTCTCCGTTAAACAGAAATTGGGGGAAAAAATAAACAGGAGGGGTTCATAATTCAGAAGGGCGAATAATTCAACTGTATGTCATTATGCAACTTTTACTCTCCC